TCAGTTCTCAAATTCCTTGTACTTGTTGTCTTTTCTACTGTGAATCCAGTGGGTATTAGATTTCGGAAGCTGAACAGGAACATTAATTTTCAAACCAGATCATATGACTTTACTCCTACCTATCACATAGCTAACATAGCTAAGTAACATGCAGATGACATGCATGATATGAAGGAGCTGTAGGCCAATAGGTTTGATCTATGAAGTGGGAACTAATGAGTCCTTAATTTAAAACAGTTAAAGATCAGAGTTTTTCAGTTAACTCAAATTTCAAATGTATGAAGTATTTTGAGTGAACATTTGGATCAGAACTATGGATGATAAGTATAATAGGGAATATTGCAGAAATTGATTTGCCTGAAAAGTGATTTAAATATGGAACTTGCTACATTATGGAATAGCTAAAACAAATAGCATTTAAGGGAAGTTAGATTAGAACAAGAACAATAAAAGAACAGAGGGTTATGTTTACAAGGTTAGATGAAATAATGTGGGACAAAGCTTAAATGAAGCATTAATATGAGCCTGGACCAGTTGAGCCAAAGCTTATTTCGGAGTTGGAAATAAATTGTAACTCAGGAAGAGAGACATAGTGGCCTAGTGGTGTTATTGTTAGATTCTTTATCTAGACAGCCAGATAATGTTCTAGGGTATTTAGTTCAAATTGAACCAGGACAAATGGTAGAATGTAACTTCAATTAAAATTTGGAATTAGGGATCAGGTAGTGACCATGAAACTACTGCCGATTGTCAGGAAAATCCTATCTGGTTCATCAATGTCCTTTTGGGAGGAAACTGCTCTTCCGGCTTATGTGTGACTCCAGACCCACAGTAATGTGGTTAACGCTTAACTGCTCACTGGGCAATAAATGCTGACCTAGCCGGTGATGTCCACATCCAGTGAAGAATTAAAAAAAAGGGCACTGGAAGAACTTTAAACAAAAAAAATGAAAAAACTGTGGATGCTGGAAGTTAGAAACAAACAGAAATTGCTGCAAAAATCTCAACAGGTCTGGCAGCATCTGTAGACAGAAAGCAGAGTTAATGTTTCAAGTCCAGTGACCCTTCTTCAGAATAGTTCTGAAGAGATGCTGCCAGACCTGCTAAGTTTTTCCAGCAATTTCTGCTTTTGTTACTGGAAGAGCTTTGCTTTGCTCTCTTGGGTATGCAAAGATAATTTCAAAGAAATCCAGATTTACTGCAATTTTCTGTCAACAGAAGTCATGCAAATATAAGGGTAGAGTAGAAAGATTTCAGCACAGCGTTGTTATTTGTGATACCAGCCAGTCTCTTAAAGCTCACTGAAAACAATGCCTGACACATTTCTGAAGGTACAAGCTTTTTTCACATCAGCTGGCGAACAGCACACTAACCGGTGGCCAAATTGGAAGCCAAAAGGGCCATAAATCTTCTGAAAATTGTGATATAGTTAGGAGTTTCTGGATTACTGACCAGGCAGCAACAAGAAAACAAATTAGGCATGTCACATCTTTTACAAATCAGGACTGACTTTGCCAAATTTTCTTACCATTTCCCAGAACTGGTCACTTATTTTTCCTAACCAGGAATTTTAGATTACCAACTTGCCAAATATTTTATTGTCTAAACACCATTCAACCTCCCCCTGGAAACACCTGCACTCCATTTTCTAGGCATATTTTTGGCCACTTCAGCTGCCATAAGAGTTGCTAATGCCTTTTCCTGTATAAGAATTGACAGTTCTTTTAATCTAACATTTCACACTATGTTTTATATTAATTTACATTGGTCGCTGATAAAAATGATGAGATCTAGGTAATGTATTGTCTACACTGAGTCAGTATTGTTGTCAGTCTGGATCCACTGGCGTTAACATTGTCGTCAGTGTTTCACTGACCTCTGGGTTAGTAGACTCTAGTTTTGAGTCCCACACCAGAAACCAGAGGACAAATTCCAGGTTATCATTTCAGTGCAGTCCTGAGGGTGTGTTGGACTGTTAGAGGTGATACCTTTCCAAATAAATAAATGTTAACTAAGGTCCCAACTGTCTTTTCAGTTAGAAATAAAAAAAATGACTCTACATCTTTAAGAAAGGCAGGGAAGCATGTTGTGCTGTTCTGGTGAATATTCACTACTCAGCATCACTAAAACAGATTACTTTGTCATTTATCTCATTCTGATTTGTGTGAGCTCATGGCATGCAAACAGTTTGCTGCATTTCCTGCACTGCAGCAGTGATGACACTTCCAAAGTACTTCATTGGTGGGATAGTGTTTTAGAATTCCTGATGTCATGAAAGGCACCATGCAAATGGAAGTCTTTATTCTTCCTATTAATACTTCCAAGAATGTATTATTTTACTCCTGAGTCTCAAACAAGTACAGCTTATAATACAGTCCAGGAGTCAGAAGTCATTATCACACAAAAGGAGACCATTTGGCCCATCAAGTCCATGCCAGCTCATATACAGTATTCCAGTAAGTCCTATTCTCCTGTTCCATCCCTCAGGCATCTATTTAATTTCCTTTTGAAGTCATTCATTATCTACGATTTCACCATTTTTATGGTCAGTGAGTTCTAGTTCACTTTACTTGCTGCATAAAAAATTCCCCCTTATGCCACCCCTGTTATCTCTTGCCAAAAACCTTAGATCTGTCTTCTCAGTCATTGTACTGATGGGAACAGCTTCTCTGTTTACCCTGTCTAACTACTTGTAATTCTGTACAACTCTGAACAAATCTCCCCTCAATAGAGCAGACAAAGGACCAGGTAACTTAGCCAATCTGTGCATTGCAGCCTTTTCAATTACCCTGACCATTTATTTTTACTCTATCCATTATCAGGACCATATTCACTTCTAGTGACATTTTATCAGCATTCTTTTCTTTACGAACGACCAATACAAAGTACCTATCAAGTATTCCAGCCTTGCCTTGGACCTCTAATATATATCAAACAGAATGCAGTATAAATAGGATGCACTTTGTAGCACAGGTAAGATTTACATGCAGTAGTTATAATCTAGCATGGATGTGACTCAAGCAGCTCATTAGTGAAGAGTAACCTATTTGTGATAAACTAAAAGCAATGATCTCATGGAATCAGGTCAAGCACAGGCAAGGAAATCTCCTGCTGATTACCACCTACAACCCTCCTTCAATTGATGAATTGGTATTCCTCTACATTTAACACCACTTGGAAGAAGCATTGGTGATAGCAAGGGTAGCAAAGATACAGAATTTATTCAGTTGTCCCAGATTGCTCTGTTCAGGATACTAATGGTTGAAGTAACCATTACAGTCATAGAGTCATTGAGATGTACAGCAAGGAAACAGACATTTAGGTCCAACTCGTCCATGCTGACTAGATATCCTAAATTAATCCAGTCCCATTTGCCAGAATTTGGCCCATATCCCTCTAAACCCTTCCTATTTATATACCCATCCAATGCCTTTTAAATGTTGCAATTGTACCAGCCTCCACCACTTCCTCTGGCAGCTCATTCCATACACGCACCACCCTCTGCATGCAAAAGTTGCCCCTTAGGTCCCTTTTAAATCCTTCCCCTCTCACCTTAAACCTATGACCTCTAGTTTTGGACTTTCCTACCGTGGGGTAAGGAACTTGATTATTCACCCTATCCATGCCCCACATGATCTTATAAACTTCTATCAGGTCACCCCTCAGCCTCCAATGCTCCAGGGAAAATAGCCCCAGCTTATTCAGCCTCTCCCTGGAGCTCAAACCCTCCAATCCCAACAACATCCTTGTAAATCTTTTCTGAACCCTTTCAAGATTAACAACATCTTTCCTATAACAGGGACACAGTCCTTCTGGTGATGACATCCTACACATTGTATTGTGTGAAATTACAGGCACCACTGTGCCACAAGGCATTAATTCAAACAAGTTTACTAGCACAAAGCCCATGGAACTGAAGGTTTCAGCAACACCAGCAGAAGTGTCCTCAACCTTGACACGTAATCTCATTGCACTGATCCTCTACCCAACTATTACCACCAAGCCAGGGATCAACTCTGGTTTAACAAGGAGTCCAAAAGGCATGCCTGGAACAGCACCAGATATACCTAAAAATGAGGTGCCAACCCGGTGAAGCTAAAACACAGGATTGCATCCATTTCAAACAGTGGAAGTCACATGTATTCTAAGGGCTAAGCAATCCCACAATGAATGGATCACATCAAAAGTCAGTAGTCTTCCACCTGTGGTCATGAATGATTGTCAGCAACTAAACAGGTAGGAAAAGGCTCCATAACCATCATTACTCTTAATGGAAGGGGAGATCAGCTTGTCAATGCGTGAGACATGATTGAAGCATTTGCAGACATTTTCATCCAGAAATGCTCAGTGCATACTCCATCTTGACCTCCTCCTGAGGTCTCCAGCTTCACATTTGTCATGCTTCAGCTCATTAATTCATCTACAGGCAATAGCATAAATGGTTATTGGCACAAGATACAGGTATTGCACATAAATTATTTAACAAGAAACAGATGATTTTACTGGGGGGCAGTTAATGGAAAAAAAATGGGCAATTTGATGATAAGAAAGAAAGGTTCAGTTGTGTGTAGGAGCACTATTGGATATAAAAAAAGAAACAAGATACAGATAAAGCTATAGACTCTGACAACAGCAATACTCCAGAACATATGTCCCAGAACCAACTGTGCCTCTAGTTCTGAGGAAGGGTCATTGAATTAGAAATATTCATTCTGATTTCTCTCCACAAATGCTGCCAGACCTGCTGAGCTTTTCCAGCAATTTCTGTTGTGTTTCTGACTTCCAGCATCTGCAGTTCTCCCCTTTTTTTTTTTTTATTTATTTGTATCTCTAGCAAACTGTTCCAATGCAGCTACAACACTAACATCTCTCTGACAAAGTGGAAAGGCAAATTGTCCAACAAAAAGAAGACAGATCCAATCAAGCCAATCATTGCCCTATCAGTCCACTCTTAAACAGAGATGGAAAATGTGTTGAAAGTGCTACCAAGGGGTACTTACTGGTAACCTGCTGACACTCTGTTTGGATGTCACCAAGGTGAAATCTTCTAGGGGCTGTGTGATGCTGGCTATGGTATGATTCTTGTGGCAGATGTGTGCAGGAAGCCCAGTGAAGCCTACTCAGCACTGGGAGCAACTCTGCATCTTTTTTATGCAATTACTGATGAGGTGGGGCTTTCACTAAGCAGCAGTGAGTTGCCAATTGAAGGGGATGATAGCTTGTTAAATATCTATTAACACATCATCTTTCCTCATTAATATTCAGCTTCCTACCTGACCAAACGTGCTGAATAAACTAGATTAGACTCGTCTAAGCTAAGAGCCTCCATTTTGTTCAGCCCCCAAACAGCATCTCAGGGCACAATCCACAGGCACCAGCTGATGCATCCCACACACATGGCCATTGGCATCCAGCATTTGGCAACGCCTCATGTCCATCAGGCCACACCTCTGATCCACTGTCAAGCTGCTCAGGAAACACTGCAGAGCGTACTGGCAACTAGCATTGATAGGCCACTACGAGGACATTGTGTGAAATGCCAGGGCCACCACCTCAAAGAATTGACTCAGCTGCAGAGCAGGGCTGCTTGCTTTTGTTTTAGCACTCGCTCATCTAGAGCCTACATTTCATGTTCGCAGCATCCATAGCCTGCCTTGGCGTGCTGTGCTAGTGTTGGCACTGCAGCCACACAGACTATGTGCCATGCTTGTCGGTAACAGGGGTTGGTGCTATGTTGCTGTATAGCACACCGAGAAGTCAAGATAAAGCCTACAGCATGTGCCAGCTTCCTGCACAGCAAACACACCGAACATTTATTCATCTCAGAGGCCATGTTAGAAAGTGGCACAGCGCTAGTCTATGGTCCAGTCAAGGGGTCGGGGCCAGGGTGCTGTCTTTTGGGGGATCTCAGTGCAGTCAGTCACAGACACAGTCTGCACACAGTCAAAGGTCTTGGTCAGGGTCATTCCTCTGTTCAAGGTAACAGTTAATAAATGGAAGAAAAAGCCATGGGTGATTTGCTGATGAGAATGAAGCTTTCAATTGTGTGTAGGAGTACTTTTGGATATTAAAAAAAAGAGAAACTAGATACAGGTAAAGCTATGGACTCTGATAACATTTCAACTGCTATGCCCCAGACCAACTGCACCTCTAATTCTGAAGAAGGGTCACTGGATCCGAAGTGTTCACGTTGATTTGTCTCCACAGATGCTGTCAGACCTGCTGAGATTTTCCAGCAGTGTTTCTGACTACAGTCCAAGGAATGGGAAATGGTCAGTCCTGGAGGGCCAACAAGGGAATGAATGGTGTATTGTCAGTTGTTGAGGTGTTGCAAAGTCAGCGGTCAGGGGTATGGTCAGTCATGTTTAGGGACTGCTCATTGAAGTTGGTCAAATGTTAGGGGCAAATGAAGACCTGGGTGCCTGCCCATTGATCATGAGGTGCAAGGGGGCACTGTAAGGTGTTCACTTCCAAATGGGTCACGGGGGGAGCAGAGAGTCAAGGCTGGTGGGGGAAAGTAGAGGCAATGCTTGTGTTGGAACAAGGATGGTGATGGGTAATCAAGGTGAATGGGGGTTATGCAGCATTGGAGGGCATGGTAGTTCATGATAGGGGGTTATCGGCAGCAACTACCACCATCACCTACACAGCAGGAACATAGAAGAGCAGGGTGGGTATCAGCAAGGAGTAACATTAAGGTTCAGGAGGCAGGGAGGAGAGCACAAGGTACGGATCAAAGTGTTGGGCCCCCAAATGGCTGAAGTGGGGGTTTGTTAAAATGGATTGTTGGGTTGTGTGGAGGCTGAGGGTGGGTGTCAGAGCCAGGCAGAGCTTGCTGCTGATGGTGTCCAGTGTGAGCTACATTCCCTGGCATCACTTATCATTCTCCAGATGTGAAATGCAAACGGAAAATGGCTGGGAGAATGCCCAGGGTGAGGGGAGTCAGTTTCACTGCAAGATCCGCATCTACAGGGTGCAGCGACATTGAAAGGACAAAAACACGAAGCAGGCATTTACAAACATTTAGTTTGAATCATTTCATTGCACATTTGCAATAGTGAACATCTTTAGGGGTCAAATGTTGGTCAAAGATGATTTGCAGCTTCCAATTTGGTGTTTGCAAATAGAATGTTGGCATCTCAATGATGTTGAAGTTAGCAAAAATAATTGAAAAGCAGGCCAAACTGGCCAAAGGTGAACCATCATCCGTACAACATCTAAGCATTCTGTGAGAGGCCTTGATGTTTGCTTCATCATCTGTCCTGTAAGCATAATGATGGTTTGTACTGAATGCTGTGAAAAGTTGAACAGTTGATGTGGGTCTGCTATGGGAAGGGTTTCAGAGTGCAGCGATATAGTGTGGTGGTCACTCACCTGGCGTGGCATCTTTCAGAAGTTGATGCATGTCCTGATGTTAAAGCTGAATGAATGATGGAGACATGACTTTTGTTATCATGGTGTGGTGTACCTCACTATCTGGAGGAGTGTGTGCAGGCCTCGTTTGCAGGGTATTCCAACAGTGCCTCCTCTGAGATCTACAAACTTCTTTTGCTCCTTAGGTTTCCAACGTGGGTCATGTTCACTGACAGTCCTGTGCCCGGCTGCTGGTGGGATGTAATGCTGGTCACTGCGGCTGCCTTTCGGAGAAGGTGAACGCAGACACAGGAAGAACTAAGGCCTAGAGCAAATCTAGGAGCAGCAGCAGGCACCCACAGAGGATGAAGAGCACCCAACTTGAGGAGAGTCACATCCGCAGGGTCCTCTCACAGCGCACAGAATCTGAACAAGGACCAGATTCTTTGAGCCCTAACTCCATTTCCTGGAAGTGAGTGAGGTGCAGTGTTGCCACAGGCTCTGTATACTCCGGGATGTAATGCTGTAATGATGCGGACTACTAAAGCCGGTCAAGAGGGCTGCAGGACTGGGAGGTGGGTATTTGAGGAAATAAAGTGAGTGTGAGGTAGCAAAAAAAAATGGCTTTTTTACACAGCATAGAAGGTGATTGACATTAAAATCAAGCTGTCAGGATCTTGGATTCATGTCCTCTTCTGGTGGTGCTGAGGGGAAGAGGAAGGCTCTCCTCTGCAGCATTTCATGTGCAGGGCCTTCATGCACCTTCCAGGCCATGTCAAGCTAAATGTCAGGAGCCATGCAGGGTGGCTCAAGACTGATTGTGCTTCACAGATGGCGCTGTTAACAGGGTACATTCAGACATTCTGGGCAGTGCTGACATCTTCTTCTTCAGCAGTGGTAGAATCAGGCTAGCTTTAGACAACAGGGATGCCATGGGGCCTGTTCAGGATGTGAGTTTGTGACAATGGCTCAAAAAAAACTCGCTAGACCTCATGGAGAAAACAGTCATGAATCTCAGAGAAATTGGCAATTATCAAAAAGAAAAGCCCAATATAAAACAATATTATTTATTTACTAATGTCTAACTTCTCATGACATTTTCTTCATCCATGTTTGCTCCAGCAGAATCACAGAATTGTTATGGCCACAGAAGGTGGCTATTTGGCCCATTGTGCCTGCACTGGTTCTAATCCCTGTAACCAATCTCCTGCTTTTACTCCAAATCCCTACACACAATTTCTTTCCAAATTGTCATCCAATGATCTCTGAAATGCCTGAATTGAAGCTGTCTCCACCACATTTCGAGGCAGACCCTAACTACTTTCTGTGTGAAGAAGTTTTTCCTGATTTGATTTGACATATTGTTGTCACGTGTACCTAGGTACAGTGAAATGTTTTGCTTTGCCAGCAGTACAGGCAGATCATACCATACAACAAGGTGCAGAGCTGGATGAACACAGCAGGCCAAGCAGCGTCATAGGAGCAGAAAGGCTGACGTTTCGGGCCTAGGCTTGATGCTGCTTGGCCTGCTGTGTTCATCCAGCTCTGCACCGTGTTGTCTCAGATTCTCCAGCATCTGCAGTTCCTACCATCTCTCATACCGTACAAACTGCATTTAGGGTAATAGAACAGAGCAAGGAATACAATGTTATGCTGCAGAGATGGTGCAGAGAGAGCAAGGTCAACATTAAATTTGAAATTTGAAAGCTCCATTCAGAAGTCTAACAACAATTTTCTTCTTACACCACTGTTGCTTCATTTGGACTGTCACTTTAAACACAGCAAAATAACCTTCAGATCAACTTACTATTCCAGGTGACTGTAGGACTATTCTGGAGCATTGACAATTGTAATGGGATAGGCAGCCGATAATGATGGGTGCTGCAGAAATGAGGTGTCCATTGTTCCTGTGTGAGTGAACATCAGTACATGGGTGATTCAGGAATAACTGCTCGAATGGGGACTTACGGATTTTCAGAGTCTCGGTGTATTTTCTGAACAATATGTTTGTCACATTATAAACAAAATCAGTTGATTATGTAAGGGAAAAGGTGAGAGGCACAGAGAGTGAGTCCTACATATGGAAGCTGTGCCACAATGATTGATTTGACACATTCTTACTTAAAAGGATGCAATTTTAAGAGTTAGTGGTTAGCAATCTAAAATATCTATAGAAAAAAAAATACATGCAGGAAATAAATATGACCTTCAGTGGCATCTGAAAGGCACTTGCTATTATAGCAATTCCTATCTGTTTAATTAAAAAAAAATAAACCCTCCAGCTCCTTTTACGAACAGCCAGAGGCACAAGGCACACACATTGACAGAGCCCCAAGCAATAGAAAGGCTCTGGTGCAACTGGAGGAAGTTTCCTGAACAAATTCATCTAATCAATAGACTTGTCTCTGCTCCTAGCTCCAGAATGTTACAATCTTTAGCATAAACCCTTGCTTTTCTGCCAATTTTAAATATCCTCTGAGGAAAGGTGGTGCTATGGGAGTGGGTGTGTGGGGGAAAGAAGGGCCTCTCTGTTGTGATGAGGAGCAGAAATCCTTCTTGAACAGTCTCATTTCAGGCTCTGTAATAAATCCTCTGCAGGAATCTCTGCAAAAAGTGGAGTGTGAAGATTATCAGAGAGCTGTATCATTCTGCGGTACGCATAGCGAGTGTTCACTCGTAACAGATAGAAAGGATAGGATACTGGATCACACGATCCAGTCAGCAGTGATTGGAATTCAGTCACCTAGTCGACAAAGG